TCACTCTGTATGACAGACTCTAGGTCCATCCACCTCACTACAAATAACTCAATTTCTTTTTATGGCTGAGTAATGAAGAAAATAGATATTTCTTGAAAACTGCAACTTTTAAACTCTTCAATCAATATTTGACTATACTAAAGTTACAAGATAAATTATTATCTTCTTTTGGACATGTTTTTAGTTTCATGATATCTCAGAAATTGACTGCCTAAGTCTTCCTTATTATTTTTTCATAAAATGCAGTTTGATTAAGTTGCTTTGAGTTTAGGTCTCATAAATGTTTTAACGCATTTGTAAGGAATAATCAGGGTTTGAATTTTTCTGATTTCTCAGTAGAAAATAGAAATGACTAATAATTTTGCAGTTACAGTTCAAGAAATTTAATATACAAGATGTATAAAGCACAGCAAACTCAGAATTATATTTCACATACAGGTAGTAGATCTTTTTAAATGGCATTTCACAAGCATCAGCAAAGCTGATAGACTAATACAGAAAGACATTTCTTTGGAGCAGAACTAATGAGTCTCCTGGTACAGCTATCAAGTTAAATTTATAAGACTCTCCACCCTCATTAGAAGACTAACCGTGGAAACCATAAGCTTTGGGGTTATAACAAGAATCACTTCAAAATAAATGCAGTCTTATTATAATTTACTATAGCGGAAAGTAACACAGAGTGTGACACAATTCTCTTTCGTTTATGGTTATGAGGCACAAATTCTAACACAATTAACCTGTCAAAATTCAAGTGTATTGCAACACTGAGATTCTAATAAATGATTACTGCTAATGACAGAAGACTTGGTTGAAGGGATATTTGTATTTGTTTTGCCTTGTTTTTAATTTTTTTAATTTTTTTGGAGCCAGTTCTGTTTGAAGAACTCAAAATGTGACTGTGTGAAAGATACAGAATTATCTTTGCTTAAAAGGAAGAAAAAGTTTCCAGCTGTTCTGTTATTTCCCACTTAGCTATCCTCATAATTGAAAACTGTAAGGGGATAGGGCTCCAAACATAAAGTTTCTGCAGCTTAGTTGATGCTTCATTAACATTGTGTTGAATTAATGAATAAACAAACAGTTTTAAATTACATACCTGAAGGAGAAGGTGATACTTTAAAACACGCTGCATAGGAACCACAAGCAAATCTCGAAGAGTAAATTTCCCATTATTTGCTCTTTTAGAACATTCCTAAAGAAATTGTTTTTAAATTGAACTGTTTTAGTTTTAGCAAAAGGAGTCATAATACAAACATTAAAGGATGCAAACGCCATAAGCAAAACTGCTATTATACAATAAATATTTTGCTATTTTCCTTAACAATCCTTCTTTCTTAAAACTAGGAAGTTTTAAGAAATCGTCAGTTAAAAACCAAAAGAAACAAACAAAGCTTGTAGCATTTCAACTCTAAATAAGAATAAATATGTAGAACTATTTTACATATGAAAATTATTTTCTCTAGTGGTCCTCCAGCATTTTCCCCTCACTTACCACTTAACCTTTCACCAGTCTCCCCAAGCAGGCCTGTGGACCAGGCATCAAGAACAAGCCCCATTAATTAAACCCACTATGTTCCCTCCCCACCATTATGCCTTGGTTCATTCGGTTCTCTCCAACTGCCATGTGCTTGGACTAGTTCCCAGCAAAATTCATCATCCTCTTGAAGAACTATACTTCAAGGCTGTTAGTAATAGTCCCAATCAAAATTGTGCTGTCTCTCTGTGCCTTGTGGGTCTCTTAATTATTGTTGTATATGTATAATATTTTCCCCAATATATTATGTCTTTTATACCTCTTAAGAATCTAGTATTTACTGACTAAACATTTGTTGTAATGAATGAAATGGAATGATTGACTCCCAAAATTTGCTAAAGTATAAACCCACTACAGGATTCAAAGTTTTCAAAGCCTCAGATTTTATTTTTTTAATCTCACAATCTCCTTTCTTACAAGTTTATCAAAAAATAGCATTGACGGGTTCACTCTATTGACATTAACTAAGACTTTGAGGAAAGTACTTTGAATTTGCAGTGTCAAAGCCTGAATTTAAATCAAGTTTGGCAATTCTTGTCTGTGTGACCTTGAACAAATTGCTTTTCTGATCTTACTGTGTCTCAAATATTCATGGTATCATCCAAAAAAAACAATAAGGTGTCATAAAGATATTTTTATTTGTGAGCAACCTAAGTCCAAAATCCTCAGACAATTACATAACCAAGACCAAGGAATTTTCCAGTTCATGGAAGAGGTTGTATTCAAGAAAATACTCTTTAGTTTCCCTTTTCCCCACACTTAGCTTTTCCAGCACATGGAAGGATATATTATATTATCAGAAGCTATAGAAACAAACACCATTAGCTCCAATGACCATATTGAGTTAATGAGTGCTTGACTACAGCTTTCAAACAAGAACTGGTGACACATCCTGACATGTTAGCTCACATCTTGTCAATTGCTGGGGTTCACTGGACAGATTAACTATTTCAAATGATTTCTTGCTTCCACAGATTATAGCGAGTTCTGGATCATGGGTCTCAAATAGGAGGTCAAACTGTTAATATTATTGTAATGAATGGGTCTCATCTTCCCAGCTGCATTTTAAGTTCCTTGGAAATTGAGGTTGTATCTTACACTTCTTATGTTATGCCATCTTAACATAGTGTTAAGAACAGAAATGTTATACATTTAAAATTTACTTTGTTATGTTATGGAAGTCAGTGTAAAACTGTTGGGGAAAAAATTATTTCAAGTTCTAAGTTATAAGCTCAGGAAGTAAAGAAACTAACAGCGCTGGCATTAGCTACAATTAGGGGGCCGAGACTGAAGTGTAAAATGCTTATTAGTATTGAAAGCAAATAAAGGCTAGAAATGATCCTTCCAAACATCCAGTCAAGTGCTTAGCCTCAACTCCAATTCTAAGTGAAAAGAAAAGAAAATGTAATAGGGATGAGCCAGCTTAGAGAACAAGGTAAAGAGACTCTATTACCCTTCACCCCATGTTACTTTGGTTCTACAGTAGGGGTGAAAAAAAGACAAAAATCATCAAGAATAAAAATAACCACAAAAAGAAGACATGAAGGAGGCAGAGAGAAACCTAGTATAAGGCAGCTTTCCCTCCATCATGCTGGGACTTGCAGAAGACAGTTCCAGCAAAGACTATTTGTTGAGGGCTTATAGTAAGTATCTGGTTAAATACTTCCAAATCAGACCCACGGTTAACACAACCAGCATCACCTCACCCTGAGCCTTTCAAACTCAGTCTGAGGTTCTCTCTTTCCCTAAGACTTACAGTGACTACAGAAACTATAGAGTATGCTCACTGGGCAGGATTTTGACAGTGAGTCTGAAAGAAGGGAGAGTAACACGCATATAATGCTGAGAATATAATGCAGGTTTGATTGACCACTTTCTGACTCCTCTCTTGAACCAGAATTATATATATCTTTATTAAAAAAAAAAAAACTGCCTAAATGGTAGCTCTATTAGGAAGTCGTTGTGTACGTTGTTAACTTTTATCTTACCATCGTGTTTTAATTTGAGTCAAGGTGGCTTATAGTTCTAGACTTACAAGGCTCTGCTCTCCAAAGAGGAGCAGGGGCCCTTTAGGCTAACAAGGCTGTAAGGATGTCACTTAGTGGTGACTCAAACCATCTCCAGCCATAAGATCCGCATCATCAAGGGATTGTGAGAGGTAAGAAAGAAGGATCCATGATATAGAATTAGTACAGTTACTTGGTAGTCTGTTGATGTGCAAATTTTCTCACCAATAGCTCCCCTTTGTGGGAATTATTTTATTAAATCAGACCAGATATGCTAAACAGTGAAGGGGTTCTGCCTTGCAAATCATCTACCTCTTCTTCTCTGTTCATCACCTGACCTCACTGCTAAACCCAACAAAGAGCAGCAAGGAGGATATGAGAGAGCCAACCAAGCCACACACAGAAGAGTTGACTATACATCTCCACCTGAAATTTAAGAAGATCCATACATATGGATAATATATTTGAGATGACAATTCATATGACATATAAATAATCATTTTTCAAAAGATTTTTGAAAGTGCAGACTCTTCTTGTGTGTGGGGGGGGGAAAGATGTACCAAAAAAATAAATGACCTAACACAGTTTCCAGACTTATTTTCCATTGTTACCATGTGCTCTATTCATACTAACCTACTTGCCATTTCTCAAACCTGCCTGATCCTTCTGGTCAAGACATACCAATTCTTCCAGAATGCCCTACATGGACTCTCGTCTATCAAGACTCACCTCATTCTTCAGTGACCTAGCTCAAATGCTCCCTCTTCAGGTAAATCTTCCACAGTCTAACTATACTGAAGTGATCACTCAGTCTTACTCATGGAGCCCTGACTGAGTGCTTATCACATACTACTTAATCTCACCATATGTGTGCCTGTCTTGCCTTCTTATGGGCAATATCCATGCCCTTTTTTTATTTTTTATTATTTTTTTTATTATTATTATTTTTTAACATCTTTACTGGGGTATAATTGCTTTACAATGGTGTGTTACTTTCTGCTTTATAACAAAGTGAATCAGTTATACATATTCCATGCCCTTTTTATACGTTTTCCCCTAAATATCTTTTGGCCGTGTTATGCAGCATGTGGGATCTTATTTCCCTGACCAGGGATCGAACCCACGCCCCCTACACTGGAAGCACAGAGTCTTACCACTGGACCTCCAGGGAAGTCCCAATATCTTATATTTTTAGTAAACAGTTTACATCTACATACATATTATCTCACATACATCTTACTCATCCTGTACCTTTTACTACCCTGGGCAAATTACTCATGATCTCTCTGAACACTGGCTTTCTTAACCATAAGATAAAAAAATTAATTGTATGTATCTCACAAAGTCATGAGGATCTAATGAGATAAGGCATGTAAAAAAGCCATAAATCTTCTATCTTACTACTGTTATTATTACTGCCACATTATTATTTTATAGAGCTATATATTAAAATATTTTATGAAATTACACTTAGAATTCATAGAAATTTGCTGTTGCATAGATCATGAAAAGAATATGTTGGTTTTAGTTTATTTTACTCTGTCATATACACACAAAAAATAAACAGGCACCTCTAATTTCAGTTTGACATCTTCTTTTGTCTTAGAAATGTAGTCTAAACTAGAGATGGCCAACTCCACTCCACTGCAGTACTGCCCATAAATAACCAACCTGAAAGGAAAAGAGAGAGAGGAAAAAATCTGAGGACAAAAAGGCAAGAATAAAGTGGAAGAGGAAATTCACCTATTTAAAACCACAATTAGGCATAACCAAAGCAAATCTCACTCGTCCTGCATCTCTTACTTTCCAGGTAACCCTGGGCAGATTATCATAAGTTCTCTGAACCTCAGCTTTCTCGTTTCTTTTTAAGACACACCACACATACAGTTATAGATTGAAAGTCACTCGTATTTACAGTATTAAAAATGACTATTTTTAATTTCCAAATTTGAATGGGATTGATTCCATGCATGTTTTTATAGCAGGTAGATTTTACAAACTGGCTTAATGACGGTTAATATTGTTTGAGTGCATATAATAATCAAAAACAAAATTAAAAACTTCTCTTCAAGTTTCTATTAGAGATCAACTTTTACACTGTTCACGCTCACTCAGGAACAGTTTTATTTTCTACTACTGTTTCACTGTAATCACTACTTACAACTCTACTCATTAATAAACCTCCTACTCCCTCCCCCGTTTTAATTAAGAAAAATACATTATCTGAAAAGTGGGAATAAGAGGGCTGAGCTGTGCTGGCTGGGAGATAACTCACATTGCATGGGGTCTGAGCCTGCTTCGGGAAGGGTATCTCTGGGGTAATACCGATTTTTGCAAAGAGCCCGGTTAATTTATTGTTTCTTTTAGCCCTCTACTGGAAAACAAAAAAACTACTACATTAATATTTATCTAATGTTGATGTAAGCAATTAATTAGCTACTTCTTAGTACTAGGAACTATAGTGCTTGATTTTAAAAGAGAGCGCTCTATTTTAAGCAAAATTCCTTGGTACTTCTAATTTATGTGAATTGTTCAGAAGATTTTTTTCAAATTCAGAAAGGGAAACTGACGTTGGCTGTGAATGTAATACTCCAAAATACAGAATTATAAGGTATTAGAGTTGGAAAAAGCACTACGTACCAGATAATCTACCCCTAACATTTACAGATGGAAAAAAGGAGGCTCAGAGAGTTAAAATGACTTCCTAAAGTCTACAGGACTCAAGAGTGACAGAAACTGCACCTTCTGGTTTTCAATGCAAAAGTCTGAACCCTTCTTTTTTTCTTTTTTTTTTTTCCCTGATACACATATAGAGGTCAACCACTACCCAGAAATTAACTGTCCCATGTTCTAATTACTGCCCAGACAGTATCTTAATGAACGATAGTAATAGCTACTTATGAGCAATTTTAATACTAACCCTCACTATAATTACAAACTAATAGCCACAAAATTTAAAATCCAAAAGTTACCTTTCCTTGTAGTTAATGAAAACTTGATACAAGTTCTGGTCGTTTTTATTTACAATGGAATCATGAATCTCTTGCATTAGGTTCCGATGAACTTTTACAAGTTCCTTAGAAAAGAAAGCAGTGTCAAAGCAAATTAGGAATCAGAACCAAAAAAATCACCCGGAGCCCAGCATCCCTATTGCTGCCAGACTTGCCATTCAAGGATATGCTGAATACCCTCAATATATAAACCTGCTACCATCAGTAAAGAGGAAAAAAAGGAGGGGAAAGAAGAGAAAAGAGAGAAGGGGAAGGGGAGGGGAGGGAGAGAGGGGGAGAAAGACAGGCCATGTTCACGGAAAATAGCAATTTCAGATCTGACTGTGGAAAAAGAAATTCTCTCTCTAGTTATTAAAGGGTAATTTATTCCTTGTATAAAAATATGTACAGTTCAGTTTCATCTTATAATCACTTTAAATTTTTAAATAAAACTATCCAAGTGCTTAATGTTTTACTGACAGGATAAAGTAATGATTCATGTCCTCGAGACATAAAAATGTAGATTTGTACTTTGGCCAATTAGTGGTGTCCTGGAGCTAAGCTAACAATAATCAGACTAAATTACTTGAAACCAGCCAACTAATGTCATAAATAAGCAGCAAATAAATTGTAGTAGGCAGTTTAGTAGGGCAACTCAAAAGATAGAATTTCACATTTTTCCTGATAAGCAAGTAATTTTCGGTCAGACAGTAAAATACATGTCACAGCCAGGAAATGAGGAAATCCGAATCAAGGTGCCAATTCTCCCAGGATCTCTTCCCGTGTACCTTGGAGCACACATTGATGCAGGGCATGCCCTTCCTTAGGAGGTGCTAAGTGAAACATGAATATGTTGGCCCTGTCACTTTTCTGAGGAGCATGGAAAAGATATTAGAATAAGGACTGTCAAATGGGTTCTAAGTTACGGTAAGCGTATTTAGGTGGTTTAAGATCCTCATCTTCCTAAAATGTGTGGTTTGTTTTATGCTAAATATTCATTTGATATTGGGATCTTTTTCTTCCTTCTACGTTACAAATCAATAAGATGTCTTCATTTGGCCAAAATCAGGAACAAGGACAACATGTCATAGCTAAACTGGTGCAAAGCAACACTAAATATAAAGGAATCAAAATATTAGAGACTTTACAGGTGATACAAGCAAGCCGGTTCATAAAAGCTTATATACTGTATATAAGAGCTACATATTAAAACTGAGGGACTACCCTGGTGGTCTAGTGGGTAAGACTCTGCACTCCAAATGCAGGGGGCCCGGGTCTGATCCCTGGTCGAGGAACTAGAGCCCGCATACATGCCGCAACTAGAAGTCCGCATGCCGTAACGAAGGTTCCGTGTGCCGCAACAAAGGTCCCGTGTGCCACAACGAAGACCCAGCACAGCCAAAATAAATAAATTAAATAAATAAATAAATAAATATTAAAGGAAAAAAAGAAAAACTGAGGCCAGTTCTAGAGGTCTAAGAACTTGAATCTTGCCTAGCAAGACCTTACATGGTATTGCATTTGGCTTGCCTCTATGCTTTTGGGTACATATCCTTTTAGGACTGTCAGATAATAAGGTACCCTGAAATTTGAAATGCTATGTAAATGTGAAGAAAAGCTCCTCACATCTTACCATGAAAATAGACTGTTATATCGGGCTTCCCTGGTGGCGCAGTGGTTAAGAACCTGCCTGTCAATGCAGGGGACACAGGTTCGAGCCCTGGTCCAGGAAGATCAGGGGACACAGGTTTGAGCCCTGGTCCAGGAAGATCCCACATGTTGTGGAGCAACTAAGCCCATGTGCCACAACTACTGAGCCTGCACTCTAGAGCCTGCAAGCCACAACTACTGAGCCCATGTGCCACAAGTACTGAAGCCCATGCACCTAGAGCCCATGCTCCACAACAAGAGAAGCCACCACAATGAGAAGCCTGGACACCGCAACGAAGAGTAGCCCCCGCTCGACGCAAATAGAGAAGGCCCACGCAGCAAAAAAAACCCAACACAACCAAAAATAAATAAATAAATAAATTTATTTAAAAAATAAAAGACTGTTATATCATAAAGAAGCAGTGTATTTCAGAAATGGGAGTTTAGGCTGATGCAACCAGAAGAAGAAAACACCAAAAAGCAGAGGACAAGAAAGTGTAGGAATGGAGGGAAGTGAAGAAGACAGATAGAGCCAGGACAGTGTCTGTAAGATGGGGTTGGGGGGCTGAAAGAACAATAAAGCAGGGAGTGGAGCAAAAGGGGATTCCCACAAGAGAAAGAGACCATAACACCAAGGATTAACTGAGACTACCTTGTTGTGACAAGCAGTTAAGTATGATACATCAACCTTATCCTTTTGCGTTCAGCATACATTCTGACTTTTGCTTGGCGATATGACTTACTAGTTATTTCCAGAAAATAAGACTATAAAAACTCAGGAGACAGAAAATTGGGTTAAAATTCTTTAAAAATACAATAGAATGTTCAAATAGGGACCCAATAAGAAAAGAGGATTTTATAGAAGTGTACCACAATTTTAGCTAGCATGTTTTTACTTACAGGAATGTTGATGAATACTGAATCAAATTCAGCTGCTGTCAGAAATCTTTTTAATGGTGCCATGAAATACTACCAGGAGAGAAGAGAGGGGTAATAATTAAGCACAACTTATCCTAATCTATATAATAGTTTTTCATCAATGAGCAATAAATATTACTGAAGTTAATCAGTATTATGAATACCAAGAAAAAAGCAGAAACTATTTTCTCTACCGTAAAAATTCTATATTTGAACAGAGATATGAAGACATAAATACAAGTTAATACATTTAAAATATAAAATAAAAGATCTGGGCTATAAATCCTTCTGAAAGTAAGAAAAAAAAGAAGAGAGAACACCACTGGCCAAACTGGCAAAAAATGGCAACCTTCTGGAGATATGTTTGAGGACTAATTCAAATATCCCTCAAATGCTCTGTGAAGATTCTAGATCCCTGAGATCAATAATTTGCATATACAATTCATGGATCATTCCCCTTCATTCTTTGAGAATTTTAGTTCCTGGCCTACCATATCTCTGTCCATTACTACTCCCATCTTCATTTTTGGTCGTATCAGTATCTGTGCAGATGGTCCTTCCAATAGCCTGGCCTCTCAGTTCCCTGAACTCCAATAATCTGTGCCCTATCCTAGCTCAGGTCCTCTTGTGGTCATAGCCCAAGACCCCGTCATTACCAACAACTGCATATGCTCCACAGAATTAAGTTGAAGCAAGCAAGTCTCTGACCTCTACCCTCCTACCTTTACAGCTCATTTCTCCAAGGACTTCTCCAACCCACTGGGTCTGCCAATCCCCTGACCATCTCACATCCCTCATGTCCTCACTTCCCTTTTTACCCAGTTTACATTCCACGAGCCATCATCAGAATCACTGCCCTACAAGTACCCTTACCCTCTCTTCTTTCATTCTGGAAAAATGAAAACGCTGGTTAAATCTAGCTTGCCATATATCTTGTGCCTATACCTAAGAAGTTAAACAGAAGCTACACTGATAGCTAATTAAAAATATAATCACAAAACCCAAATGAGCCTGTAATGCTACATTATCCTAGTACATTTACCCTCTCGTTCTCCTAAACAACTCTTCCATGCCTTCATCTCTCTTTTTAAACTTCCAAAACTTTCTCCTGGTTCTCATTCTCCTAGCCTCCAAATGTGGAAGTCGCCAGAGGTGACCTCAAACCTCTTCTCTATCAACATCCATTCCCTTGGTGATTCATCTATTGCCATGGCTTTAAACACCACTGCATAATGATAATGGCCCAATCTATACATCCAACCTTTCCCCTGAATGTCAGACTCATACATCTAACTTCCTCCTCACTACATCCCCTTGGAAGCTAATAGGTATTACAAATTTAGTAAGTCCCAACAGACTCGTGATTCCTACACCTGTCCTTCTCCATCTCAGTCACCATCTTCACCATTTACACAGTTACTCATGCTAAAAACCTAGCATTGTTAGGACTTCCCACTGGGCAGTCCAGTGGTTAGGACTCTTGCACTTCCACTGCTGTGGGCCCAGGGTTCAATCCCTAGTCAGGGAACTAAGATCTCACAAACCGAGCCATGTGGCATGGCCAAAACAAACAAACAAACAAACAAACAAACAAACAAGAACAGAAAACCAAGAATTCTTGATTGCTCTTTCCACACATCCTTTACCTAATCCATCATCAAATCCACTTGGCTCTACTTTCAAAATTTATTCAGAATCTGACCACTCCCTGCCACCTCAACCAATTCCACCATTTTCCATCAACTTAATTATTACGATATCCTTCTAACATTTTTCTCAATTTCCACCCTTGCCTGACAAGAGTCAGAATGATCTGTTAAAAACTTACGTTAGATCCCATCACTTCTTCTACTCAAAACGCTCTAGCTTTTAGCCAGGTGCTCCTATATGTCCCCTGTGACCTGGGGGCTCACAAAGTCTCTGATCTCACTGCTCCCCCACACTCATTCTGCTTCAGCCTCCTGGGCTGTTGCTGTTCCCTGAAGCACACTGAACACTGTCCCACGTGAGGACCTTTCTCCCAGGGATTGTCCACTCTGGGATATTCACATGGCTTACTCCCTCCATTCACAAAGCTCTCTGCTTAAATACGATCTGACCACAGAGGCCTTCCATTACCACTCTATATAAGGTAACACCAGCCTCTCCCATCACTCACTACCCACTTCCCCTGCCTTATTTTTCTTCAGAGAATTTATCACCACCTGGCATACTCGTTTGCTTAAATTATAAACCCTCCCATGAGAGTGTCATGAGAACTAGAGCTTTGTTGTGTTGACTGCTATACCCCCAGTCCCTAGAATAGTGCCATTCACATACTAAGAAATCAATAAATCATTGTGGGATGAGTAAATCTGCTTTGAGATCTTTAAACCCAAAGTCCTGCTGAAAATCAGAATATGCAGACACTGTAGAAACACTGAGCCTAAGGTATTAGCAAGGCAGTATTGGAGCATCAAGAATGATACCTGATGACTTACTTTTTCTATTGACTCCAATGTTTCTGTATATTTTTCCTCTGTCTGCTTTATTTCTGCTAGGCAGCAACTCCGTATGTCATTTTCTGGACATTTCTACAATTAGAATTTTCAAATTAACATTATTTAATCAAATTCATGTATTAATCTTTCCAGTAGAAGATAGAAATAAAAATGATTGTTTTTTTAAGTGTTCCATTCTAATAAAACACATAACTGAAAGATATATTTAACTGCATTTGTGAAGGATCTTTGCTTTTTAAAAGAATGTGAACAATGTAAATGAAAAAGTTTTAGATAATTAAAAATATACTTTTGAGTATACTCTCTTTAAACTGAAACATCTATTTTAGTATAAATGTTACTGAATCTGGAAACATCATGAATGGTCTTATACAGTTTTCTTAATGTACAGCATACTTTATAAGCGCTGTAGAAATACTGCAAAAATCGTAAAAGGATATTTGGTAAGTAAAAAATCTTAAAATATTTTTTCAAGAGTTAACATCTTGGTGTTTGGCTCTCTTACTGTTTAAGACTCTAGGCAGTAGAACATAGTAGGAAGATCCAAGTTTTGGGGATCAGATAGAATTTGGTTCAAGAACCAGTTTTGCTGTTATTAGTTTGTCTAATCTCTCTGTGTCTTGGTTTTCTCATCTATAAAACAGAATTACAGTACCCAGCCCAAGGAGCTGTAAATGAGATAACCTGTGTAGCATGCTTAACACCCTGAGGAATGCACAAGAAGGGCCCTGTGCGTTCAATCATCATCACTGCTCACCCTGGGCCACATGAACAGCCCAGCACCGTAAGCTCAGTGAAGACGGTCCTTGGGAAAGACAATGAAGAATTTGCTGGTGCCCAAAGAAGTTGATAATTAAAGGGGTATGGACGATACTCCATCACCTAAAACACTCTTAAACTGCTGCCACAGGCGTCCCGTCAGCTCGTGCAGTGGGTTAAAGCACACATTCGTGACGTTTACTGAACACAGGCCAGCCAACTTGTTTCCATCCCACAGAAGCTACTGTCCCCTATGTGGGCACCGGACAACCCGTCGGCCCTTTATTAAATGCAAGAGGTCCAAGAGAGCCGAGCGAATTCATCAAAGCACCGAAGAAACCTCAAGTACCATCCAGATGATGAAGAAAGTCTTTTGTGTAAAGAAAATGTTAATAAAAGCTTAAGCAACTGACCTTATTTTTCATTTCAAATTATATATGAGAAAATCATTCAAGGTAATTCTGAATGTTTTAGATATTTTCATGCAGATAAAGCTTTGTGGGCTGCTGTTGACTATGGCAACACCTGAAACTAAGTTTATAAAATAGTAAAAAAATGCTAGGAGACCTATAATGAAACAAACAACAACAACAAAAATATCTCATATCAACCCCTAACAAACAGGAAGAAATATTCTTTAACCTATACTTTATGCCACATCAAACTTAAAGTAGATTTATCTGCTTTGCAAGAGATTTCCTTTCATAACAATATAATTTCATGATCCCCTGAAATTATGTTCTATTGCCACTCTGCAATTATTTAGCTGTGTGGCATGCCGTTTACTTGTTAGACTTGATTTTCTTACTAGTAAACGGAGAGATTTAGACCAGAGATTTCCTATGGTTGTTCTGAACTGTAAAATGTCATGTTTACATGTCTCCAAATGCAGCAACACGTCATGGTTATACAGTTACAAGCAAGTAAACATAAAAAAGAAAACAAACAAAAAAAACATCCCAGCAGAAGTTACATAAATAATTATTGTATGATAATTATGCTATTATTTTATAATTATAATTAATATACTTATAACGTAAATATTATTTCATTTTATTAATTATAATTATTGTATTCATTCGTCTTTCAAATAATCACTTTCTTAATAAAATACTCAGAATAACAAGTCATGGTTATAGAGTTATAAGCAAGATAAAAAAGAAAAACAACGATCCCAACAGAAGTTACATAAATAATTATAACCATTGTATTAATTATAATTATGCTATTATTTTATAATTATAATTAGTATAATTAAAACATAAATATTATTTTATTAATTATTATATTAATTAGTCCTTCCAATAATCACTTTCCTAATAAGATACTCAGAGTAACTTAAAAAACAGGCAAGTCAAAGTCCTACAGGCTGATGCGCCTCCTCCGCCTTCATCAAGTCCTCGTACACTTCGCCACCTTCGTCTTCCCCATAAACACAGTCGTACAGACCCTCTTCATCTTCCACACGGGTTTCACTGAAGCAAAAGGTATAACATAAACGTCATTTTCTAGCATGCAGTAAATACAGTAGTTAGAAATAGCTTACTGGTTATCAACAGAAAATCCAGAGAGCAAATCACATACAGTGGAAAGAGGCAAAAGTTTACATTACAGCTCTGCCCCTCCTAATAAGAACAAGGACAAACGACAACCACAGAATCTGACAACGATGGCAGTGCCCTAACCTTCACGCCTCTCTGGATGGGTTATCTCACCTGGTTTGCCCAGGTCCAGCATTAATTTTGTTATCAGGTAGGCACTGCTGTTTGGCCAATTCGAGTGACAAGGACTTTGAGAGAACACAATGTTCTTTGACTTGCCCAGGATAACACAGCTAATCAGACAGCAGAGCCAGGATTTAAAACCCAGTCTGTCTTACACACTGAGTGTTTTAACTGCTCTATCATACTACCTCCCATTTTTCATATGTCAAGACCTCAGTTTCATTACCTGTATTAAAGGGTATAATATGGAGAAGACACAGGAGTTGGGGAGGACCTAATATGTTATAAATAATCTTTATAAAGCAAAAATTTCTGCTGATTATAATTGTCAATATCTAATGCAATGGTTTTCAAACCATGTTCCTTCAAGGCCACTCAGAGGGTACCCGCAGGTTTGATTCTGTCAGATTCTGCTTTTATCTGTTCTATTTGTATTTTGCTTAAAGAAATGGCCCCAAGGCCACAAGACATTTTTAAAAGCCATTGAAATTCTTCTGCTGGTCTCCTGGCAGTGGAAAATAATCCCTATTTTTTTTTTAACATCTTTATTGGAGTATAATTGCTTGACAATGGTGTGCTAGCTTCCGCTTTATAACAAAGTGCATAGGTTTACAATCTCAAATGAAGGGTTAGGGAAACGTAATCAGTCACTGTGGAAGCGTTCATGGAGACTTTAAAAATCGGGCCCTATTCAGTCAACACAGAAACAGCTGTTTCCACCTATCACCCATTCTGCTACTACTCCTTAAGTTTTTCCTTTCAGTTCAAGAGTTCTAGAATTAGCTTCTATTAACTAATAATGCCAAAGAACTGAGATTAATAAATTTAGGTATGTTAGAAAGAAGCATTAATATCTCTCTGAAAAGAAATTCAACTCGTTCAGTACTGCCAGCCCTTAGCATTTCTCTTGGGCCTGTGCAGATAGAACATTATAAATTAACGTACAAAAATAAAAGCACTAACTATAAATGTCACTCTGCAACTCGGAGCATTTTTCAAAGTAGGTGCAATCACAAGGTTGTCTATGTTTGTCATGAAGAGTTATCTGGAGGCATTTGACAGAAATGAACTGTCAGACACCCAGAAGAAAGGAAGGTGCCTTAAGGGAGAACGCTCTGGTGGTGAGAGAAGTTTCAGAGAACCTGCTGTGAGAAAAATTCATTCCAGGATTACCTGTCCACCCATCCACCCACCTACCTGATTCTTAAACTAAGAACCTACTGATTGCCAGACTCACCAGTGCTAAGAATGCATGGATCCAAGGGCTCTCCCATAGTCTAGTGTGGAAAACAGCACATAAACACATAATTCTATGAGTGCAGAGGGAAGAGTAAGAATAACTCTGACTAAGGAAGGCAGGGAAAGCTTCATGGAAGATATTACATCTGAACTGGATCTTGAGTGTATTTATTTATTCAATAGGTATTTGCTGAATAAATACTATGTTCCAGCAGATATAGCTGCAGACAAGGCAGACACAGTTTCCACCCTCCAGGGTGACACAATGAATGAGAAGAGGGGATGAGCATTCAAAGGACCCCAACCTGTGCGATGGCAGAGAGGTGTGCAGAAGCTGGCGACGTGAGGGGTGGAGTCCGGTCCAGTGGGACCAGGTGAGTGAGGGGAGCCCCAGAGGGAAGAGGTGAACCAATCTGAGAAGGGCCCTGCGCTCTGGGAGCTCAGCCTTACCTGGGCATCTGAGGACCACAGTGGGTTATAGAGGGGTAGTGTGGAGGGTCAAGAAGCCAAGCAGGGAGATAGAGAAGCCAAGAACTGAAATGCTGTGGGTGAGAGGTAATGAGTACCATAACCAGGGTAAAGGCAGATGAGGAGAGAAACAGAGACTCAGGAGACCGTGTCAGCTACAGACTTGGGGACCAATCCGGATTAGGGAGAGGGGGGAGGACCGAAGGATGCTTTCAGCTCTGTACTCTGAAAAACTGGGGAGATGGTGAGTCTTATTGGCAGTTCCAGAATTTCCATACTGAGGGGCTTAGGCAGGCAGTCTCGCCTTAGGCAGTCCCGCCTGAGAACAGTGGGGCTGTTAAACTGGTTCGAGCACTTTCTATAACTCATCGAAGGGTAGGAAGGTCTGATGAGTTCATGAAGGAACTGAGATTAAAGAAATGATAAAGGAGTAGGTTCTGTATCAAAGGGGATCCTGTTCAGAAGGAAAACAGGCTGTGAAATCCTTTTCCTCCCTCAGACCCTCCAACCCCCACCCCCAAACCAACCAAAAAAAGCCAAAAAAAACAAACAAAAAAATCACATCGTCTTTCTTAAGTCTTGCTATCGACTATTTTGCATGAGGGCAGAGGTACATATGTATAAATTCACACAGATTCTTCTCTAAGAATTGTAGGAGTGACACACATGCACCCATACACATTGCAATTGGGCTAGAACAGTTTGGGTTTTTGTTACTCAATCCCATACTAAAGCTGTTTTTCTTGCTAACAGTTTGGGCAGTAATCTCTGATTTGCACAAAATGAAGAAGGGAGAGAGGAAAAAGCTGTGATTCTTCAAATGGTCAATAAATCAACAGCAATCTATATTAGCTTTCCTGTGTCTGGGCAACCTAGATATGGTCCCATCTGACACCCTGGTCATAAAGGTTGAAGGAGCAAGGACACTACCGTTTAGCCATCTTACACGCTCTCCATTCCATCCTGTGTCTGTTTCTCTCCACGTGAGGACAGAATGACTCCCCCTACCTGGGGAGCAGACCAGTGTTTGCTCTGGGGCCCTCCCTTCAAGTGATTCACCCCCAGAGGTTAAAGGGAAGTCTATGAGCCCACAGAGATCATAACAAAGCCAAGACTGAAAAGCAAACCCTCATAGCAAACTCAAAAGCAGGCATCTGCAGGAAACACACGACATTTGGACCTCCGACCACCTGGTGAAGAGGTGAAGCAGACTGCACCTCCCAGAGCATGTGAGTTGGCACCTCAGAGCAGCCAGTTCAGGGGCCCAAGTTTTCTCCAAACTTGCATCCTCACAGGATTTATCTTGGCATCAACAGAACAAGACGAGGGAAGACTATAAAAATGAGTAGGTGTAGGTGGGGAGTTAAGATAGAATGTCATCATAGCACTGGAAATAATATTCTTTCTAAGACGACAAGGAATTCGATTATCTGATAAGTAATCTTATAGTCACTTTATGAAGATTGCAGCCTATTCAATGAGACAATCAGCAATTACCTTGCTGAAGATTAGTGAGTTCTTGGAGATTTTAAGAAGAGATGAGAAACCATTCTTGATACACATGTAAAATACAAGACTTCGAGGCCCATCCAAAGGCAGCCTACTCTGGGAAGGGCTACGAGCCTTGCTGGTGGCTCCTGCTGAGAGCTCTCAGAGGAGCAAGGCCTCTGGGAATCAATGCAGTGAGTAAGAGCCTCCACGCTAGAATAAGAACTGCCTGGGTTCCAATCCAAAGACTACTATTACTTATGATCTTCAGGAAGTTATGATCTTCAATATGATCTTCAGCAAGTTACTTAGCTTTCAAGCCTCATTTTCTCATTTGTAAACTCTGGTGATACTAGGAACAACCTCATAATGTGGTGTTACATGAGAGACGCGTGTAACATGGTTAGGACAGAAACACACACTCAGTAAGCTCCTATGAACTGATAGATGTCTCATGATAGCTCCAGCCTGAAGCATCATGCCTGGAAGACAGTAAGTGCTCAATGCAGCTTTGGCCTATTAATTCAGAAAACAGATACTTACTGAGGACCTACTAGACACTAGACACTGTTTGAAGTGCTACGAAAAGAGCCAGGAACAAGGTCAAGTTCCTGACCTCATGCAGCAGGCCTTCTGATGAGGAGACGGACAAAAAGTGAGGCAAGCCGAGACTGCCTCAGGTAGAGGCGAGTACCGTAAAAACACAGAGCAAGGTGAGGGTGGCGGCAATTTTAGATAGGAAAGGCCTCGCTGGCAGAGCCATCTGAGCAAAGACTTGGATGGCGAGGGGTCAGCCACATGGGCAGAAGGGACAGCCAGTGTAAAAGTCCTAGGGCAAGAACAAGGTCCGTGTGCTGGGGTATTAGGATCGATCAGTGGATGAATTTCCACAGGATCTGAATCTCTCCTGGAGCAGAATCTATGTCTTCTTATAATTCTTTGCAAACATACCTGATCTTTGGCATCAGCTCCTTGAGGGGTGAGGATCAAGTTTTACCTTTATTTGTAATCTGCACAAGTCACTCAATCAGCAGAAGATAACCAGCTGCAAAGACCTTTAGCCTCTCCCAACTATTAAATATACAGCCCCAAAGGATTCTCTCTTCAGAATCAACACCATCTACTGAAACATCCCTGAATAACTCCCACCCACACTGATCTCGTTCGTCCTTGAACTTACACAGCAAGCACTATCTGTCCTACAGGTCGGGTGGTAGATTCTATTAATACTCCTCTCGTTAATTGTCTGATTCCAGGTTTATCTACTACCTTTCCTATGCCTTTGAGAAACTTCCAAATGTTACTTCATTGCTGTCTGTTTCTTTACTCTCCATAGAGACTTGCACAATGCAAGGCACACAAGAGGAATTGAAAGCCAGTTGAAGTACATTTTCTCATGAAGCTTTCCATCAGGAGTCTGAGGTTAATTCTCACATGTCTTAATCACTAAGCCACGGTTCCCCTTCAGAGAGCTATTTTAACACCCACGGTTAAAATCCACAAAGGATGCAAAAATTGGCAGTGGTGTACTTTTGTTGAAAATGCTCAACATACTCTATTAAATCAGGCAGGCTTTTGTAGATGTCGTCATCATTAACGCTTTCTTCTGTCGGGAAGGGCCTAGGAGGGAGGGAAAAAAAAAGAGTGAATAGGTAGAAACTAGGCTGGACGTTTACCTCTCATGAAACACATACCCTCAGCTGCTGCCAAAGTGGTCAGATCAGTCACCATGTTTCACACGACTTCTGGGGCTTCTCCCAAAGTGCCTGGCTGTGGCTGTGTCAGGGTCCCCCAGGGAGGCGTGGCACCTGCTACCTCAAATCACCTGCAGCAATCACGGCTGGTCACCACAGTCATGTGAGCAGTCGTGGACGTGCTGAGGTGCTCATCTGACCTCCCACCAGCCACACACCTGCAGGCTCACGTCAGCGCCCACTGCAGCCCCCCAGCTCAGAGTGGGTCCTTGCCTTTAGCACCATTCAGATTCTTTGCACTTACAGAATCTGATCTGACAAATAACTTGGTAATTAGGTAACGACCATTCTAGCATGACTCAATTCACTAGTATAGATGAGAATTAGAAAACAAAAATGCCATGCCCTTTATATATGATCATTGACTCTGATATACTTTTCTACTCAGACCGTAAGTTGTGTGAGTTGTATTTTTTATTTTTCATCTATTGGACAAATAAGTCAAACAGGCCTCAAAAAGAGTACGATGTTTTCTTTGTCCCCTGCTCAGAGAAAATCACTTTAGTTTCTACCCTATTCCTAGCCATTGGCTTCCCTTGTCTGCTTCGTACTATGAACTTTATTCATAATACCAACATAATGCCCTAAATTTATGTCTAACAAAATCACAGTGATTATACTATAGTGCCAAAAGTTTTACCCTCTTTTACATGAAGTCAGCATGTCATATGTTCCATAAAAACAAGAGGATCCATCAAAATAAAAAATAAGCACTAGATAATTACTAAATAATTATATTTAGTATAGTGAAAACATTTTCACATTCGTTTATGTATCAACTTAGTACTTAAGACATCTGAGGAACATCTATTTTTCAAATAAATTAAAATGTGTGAGAAATGCCAGTTTCAAAATCCTTTTTTAAATAAATTTTGACACATTTTATTATACTCTTATATACAAGTCTATTGTAGTAAAAAATTGAAATTATAAGTAAGAAGGAAAAAGTATAAGTAACAAGGAAAAAACTCTTCTATATATAGTTTCAGAACCAACAATATATAAATACATAAGGATAGAATCATGCTATTTCAAAATTTGCTGTTTGCATATAACAAAATATATGTTGACATGGAAAGATAATCATGTATTGAAGAGAAAATGACAAGGTATGGAACATTTATCCGGCCTAGAGACTACTGTAGAAAGCTGCCAGACTCATGGCCCATTTCTGAGGAAGAGTCTGTGGGTGTCTTCCCCAAGATCACTGTGCTTTGTACCCAGGGACTGGGCTGTCATGCTTGGATCCTCTCTGTTTGAATCTGAATGTGAACAGAAAAATGGAAGCAACAGAAGAAGAGACCCAGGGTCACAGAGCCCCATAACGGCTGGAGACTGAATTATGGAGCCCTGAGGAAATCAGGTAAAAAATGAGATCCATTCCATTTCCATGTGGCCTGGCTATGTGGCTACTGAAACTGTTTTTCTGTATTTCTAACATTCCTAATAATACAACCTTCTGACTGACCTAACTTGAATATGCAGTATTTTAAACAGAAAAGGCCCGACACAACATAACACATCTACCTTTCCATATTTAACTGACTGCATAATGCTTCACTGCATGGAGAAGGTATAATTTAAACAATTTACAGTGAACCCTTGAACAGCAAGGTTTGAACTGCACACGTCCACTTATAAATGAATTTTTTTCAATAGTAAATACTACAATACTACACGATCCACAGTTGGTTGGAACCACAGGTGCAGAGGAACTGAGGATGCAGAGGGCCGAATATAAGTTATACTTAAATTTTCAACTGTGTGGACGGTTGGTGCTCCTAATTCCCACGTTTTTCAAGGATCAACAACAGTACTTCCAAGTTTTTCACTTAGTTCCAAACTTTCAATACACCTTCTCGAACATATATTATTTTATACTTGTCTGATTATTTCTGAAACGCCTAGAAGTTGTGACTTATTGTTATGGCCTACAGGATATAAATGTACTGCAATATCTTTTTTTAAAATATCAATTTAATTAAGCATTTGTGTTTGTCTTAATGAATCACCTGTATAGGAATGTTAGAGGGAGTTAAAAGAAAGAACTGTATCAGTGACAGTCACCAGTGAGTTGAGAACGATGTTTAGCCAATGTGTCTTATTCAACGCTAAGAATCAGTTCTTACTTGCTCGATAAATTTCAAATGTCTATTGAGCACTTATATACCCGGCCAATCTTCATGAATGAGATGTGGTCCCTGTATGCAAAGTGCTTTACACATAGCAGCCATTCAATAAACAATCACTTCATCGAACTGAACAGGACGTACGAACCACAGAGAAGCTAGCTTACCTGATTCCTGTGGCCAGCGCTACAGGTGTGCGAGAGAGTCGCGATAATGTTTCTATAACCTGAGAAAAGAGGAAAGGGCTCACTGGACGTGTATTTCAGAAAAAAATATATTTTTTCAAAAACAGTAGTTTTACAATCTAATATTAACAATAGCAGCGGAAACATAAGTTTGCAGGTGTCACCAAATTGCAGAAAGGGAAGAGTTGTAACTGAGAAGTATATACACCTACCTATAATTTTGTCCCTTTCCTTAATTTTCTGACTCTACTTATAATTTTGTCCCTTTCCTTAATTTTATGACTCTAAGCAGATTACTAACCATGTGGTTTGCAGTTTCTTGATCAGTAAAAACAAGGAGTTAGGGTAATTCTAAAGTTCTCACGTCTCCCCTACTACATGATCTGAAAGACCCTGTAACACCGCTCTGTCCAAAAAAGTAGACAGTAACCACACAGAGGCTATTTAAATTTAAATTAATTAAAATTTTAAAAACAAAAGATCAGGTTCCTTAGTTGGACTAGCCACGTTGCATGTGCTCAGTAGCCCATGCGCCTAGTGGCTACTGCATTGGACGACACAGACATCAAACACTTCCGTTATCACAAAAAGTTCTACTGGACAGCACTGCTGTATAGCAAAGTGGTTCAGAGGGTGGGCTCTCCAGCCAGACCACGTCATGTGAGTTCTGATCCCGACTTCACCATTTATTAGCTGTATATCCGTGTGCAAACTACTTAATTTCTCTGGGTCTCAGCTTTCTCTTCTGGCTACTGCCTATAATAATTAAGTTAGGTTATTAACAGTCACTATCTTATTATGAGAATTAAAAAGATAATACATGTAAAGCATTTATATGGTAGCTATTCTTTATAATTGCCAACTTCAAGAAAATTACCTTATTCTAATTCTGAATATTTTCAGAAAAGGAATTTCCTAAATTACCCTTAATTATCTGTATCTGTTTCAAAAATTCTTCATAAAGGTCTTCAGTACCTAACCCTCGATGTGCCCTGCTAGATCTTTAGCGTTAGTACATAGCAACTGTACCCTTCCTTCCCACGTTTACACCTAACAGCATCTCTTTCAAAGACTTACTGAGGAAGCTAATGAGCTAAAATGTGTTTTTCTCATGAAACCTCTTTCTATGATAATAGATATAATTTGTCTTAAGTATCTAAACAAAACGTAAATACATTCTACTACAAGACCTATTCACAATGAGAAAACAGAAAGAGAAAAGGTAAAAATCTATCTCTAGGTTGAGGTAGTCTTTGAATTCCCCAGTTCAAAGATGGAAATGTTTCCAGTACTAGGAGTCACATAAGGGTATTAGCCACACATATACTCATTTATCACCTAACTTCAGGAGGCAGTATATTGTTGTGGTTACAAACTCTGAACTGAGAACACCTGGATGAGCTAGGCCCACCTTCACCAGCCTCTATAAAATGTGGATAATAACAACTACCTACCTGCCTCACAGAGTTACTGAAAAATTAAATGACACGATGCCCATCAAATGCTTAACTCAACAAATGTGAACTGTTATTAATACATAAAATAAAATAATCATTACATACAAATGAAATTTAATCTAATCGAAGGCCTTTATGCAATTTCTTTCTGGTTTAACTTTGCTGAAGAGCAAAAAACAACCTCCTAGGTAACACTTGATATCGATTAATATCCATAAGAAAGATAAAGCAACTTCAGTGAGTCTGTAAATTCAGAAGATCATGAACGAAATAATACATTTATCAAAATAAACTGATTCAAGATAAAAATAATCATCTGCTAAGTTTCCAAAAATATGCATTATTGAGTGAAAAGTCTAGCTATTGGAGGAGTCCAGGATAACCTGTGGAGTAATATTTAGACTGCTGAATTAACTACATTGTTGCATTCTAGCATGAGCCTTATCCTGATGTAGCACTGTTCTAAAGTTATGGGGTGAAGTCGGCTTCTAAATCGTTTTTTCACAGCAGTGTCACTACTCAATAACAAGAGAAATAGTACAGCATTAGTACTGCTATGTGTTTTACTACTGCTATTATTTAACACAAATGTTAAAACACCAGAACTAGTCACAACCTGTCCCCGCCACACAAGACTATATGTAGTTTGATTTTTTTAATACAATTGTCCACCAGAGGGAGCGAGACAATAGTCTATCACTTCACTCCTGCATTGAATGTAAGTACAAACATTTCTGAAAATTAACATGCTGAAACCAACTGTTATTTACTTAAAAGGATTGTCTAGTCTATTCAATGATAGAAAAATAACATAAAGATAAAAGTTCAGTGGATGGGACTGAAGGATAATAGGTAGCATGTCTTAAAGTGAATCTCCCAGGGGACTATCACTCAGTTTTGTATCTATCTTATTGTACATCAAGTCCATCCATTAACTCAAGTTTAGCCAAAGCAAATAAGGACTGCTTGGTCAATGTAGTGTTTTTAGAACAGTGTGTATTCTATATAAAGGTGGAGTGTATCCGGATTTGGAATAGACAAGTACACAAATTAATGCCAGATTCTGAAGTCCTCTGTGTGGAGAATGACCCGCTGTTAGAAACATCCTTCAAGTATATTTACAAAAGAAAATAGCCCCAAGGGCGGTAAGAAGACTATTTGCCTTGAAATGTCTTAATTTCTAAATTGTTGCCTCAAATAACATGACATATGGACATTTACTCCCAGAAAGGGGGATAACAAGTTAGAATATTTGCAGGTTAATAGGCTGAAAACGAACGACTAAATCCACATCATGGATTTTCTTTCTCTACCTACATCCATCCCTTGTTTGATAAGAAGAATGGCATTTGCAAAGAAGTGAAAAAATTCCAGATAACAAGAATAAGAGTTACCGTGCGAGGAAGGTGGGAGAGGCGAGCAGGGCTTCTGTGTGTCTGCTTTAGAGGGGTGGGTTAGATCCCAGAATCTATGAAGGGTCATTGACAAGTTTAAGGAAGATAGCAGGGTCAAAACTGCATTTTTAGAAGATCACTCAGCAAAGTGAAGGACAGACCGGGGTAGGAGGACATGGGATACAGACAGGGACCAGGAGACCCACTGGGGGTGGGGGGGTTCTCAATCATCCAGGTGAGAAATGAGAGGTCTACAGGAGAGCTAGAGAAGAGGTGGAAATATGCGAAGTATTTAGGAAAAGCGGCTGACACACCGTGGAGGCTGAGGAAGGAGGAAGAACCCGGGACCACCTGGGCCGGCTGTTACAGCGTAGAGGGGCCACAGTGCTCCGGGATGCTCCCGAGCAGGAAACCCTCGTCCTCGGTTCCCTCCAAACGCCTGACTACATTCATCCTTGTCTCGGCCAGGCTGGTCCCCACCCAGAGCCTTCTCTGACCATCTCCCTCCTCCAGTCTGGGTTCTTTCTGTCCCTACAGGACCCTGGACATAACTCTGCGCTAGCACCTATCCCCTTATTCAAAATTTATCTGCTGTTTAAAATATTTCAAAAGGACTCGTGTTTATCTTTTCAATTGAAATAATGCAGAAATACATAAAAGTTGCCCACCCCCCCACACACACACCCCTCTCTCACCTTCTGCCTAAAGGAGACCAGAGCTAAGAATCTGGTGTGACTCTTGCAGAATTGTTTTTTTCTTTTTCTTTATGATTATTATTTTAGGTAATGTGTTTCTGTTATACAGATTTCTCTACCAACGTGCTTTTGTCATTTACCAACATATCACGTATAGTGGTGTCAACACATACAGATCTTTATTCATTTTAATGAATTCATTCATTCATTTATTCATTTGAATGTTGTATCACATTCCAGTGTCTGTATATAACATAATGATTTAACATTTAACGCTTCCCCTGCCAGTGAACTTTTTCAACATTTTGCTACAACAATGCTGCAATTACCATCCTTGCCAAATACCTTTTCAATTGTGTGCAGGTATTTCTATAGGAAGGATTCCTAGATGGGCTGACTAGGTATAACCATTGCTCTTCAATAAGTATGCACAAACTCGCATTACCCCCGAAGAGTGTGTAAGAATACAATAAGGCATTCTAATGACCTGTTTGTCTGTCTTTCCCATCCAACAATGGAAAATACCTTAAGGGCAGGGAAACTGCTTCTTCCCTGTTCTATTCCCATCACTGCACTCACAGCCAGCCTCCAAACAACCACTTAACACAAAAATATTTGTTGCTCAAACAAATGAATGACTACCACTTACCCTGCAAAATTGTTGTGCGGATTAGTTATAATATGTGTAAAGATATGTAAAGAGTTTAGCCTGCCACAAGTGAGGAATGAATGAGTAATTGAAGAAGCCCATTATGAAAATTAAATATTAAGTATGAGAAACAGTTGCTTATCTCCTCAAACCTAGAGACAACGTACACAGTGGCACGCCCCTCCCCATCAAAATTTTCCCCCTAATGATAATTTTTATTTAGCTTGGGCTCTTTATTTTTTCCATCCCCATTAGTCAGTTTAAAAGCCATGAAAGAAAAACAGTTTGCCAAAACTGAATGGCAACACTGTACGCCAATAAAGCTACCCATTTTAACTCTTCTCTTCATGAGACCTTCTGGCTAATTCTCACCCTCTGCTTATCTGGCACATTAGTGCTGTTGATATCGTAGTTTGTGAGAAAAGCAAGTCAACCGTGCAGAAGCAGTTTGCCGTAGCTCCTTCCAAGGTCATGAGTTAAGGAAGCCATGGACATAGAGAAGAACTCAAGGAACCATGGGGACCAGCACACAGGTCTGTCAAGAAGTACTAATTAATTATGGCTTTATCTTCTTGAGCTCTCTACTCTGAAGTTTTATCTCTTAACTCTCCCTGAGCCAATGGGAAGGCTATAAAGATTCCTGAACAGGGCTCTGGATTCAATAGGAGTTCCTGGGGAAGCGCTTCTTCCAGGAAGATAGGTTAAAAAAGGGCCATCAGGTGGCTTCAAGCTTGAGCCCCAAGCACCTGACAAGCTTGGCAGTTCAGGAACGGTCTGCAGCATTGCAGCACCACAGCACGAAGCTCCCATCTAGCAGCTGAAGCTATGGGCAAGGATGCTGCATCA